CTGTGCCTATCTCAAAGAGTAATTAAATATAACACATTGATTTTCACTAGGCAAAACCCATTGCACCCTCATCTGTATAACTTTGTATATCCCTCATTTTACTTCTTATCGAATTTGATTACAGCCTGTAGTATGCTGTGATAACATGTTGTAGTTACAGTTCAATTTGCACCTGACTTTAAAAAAGAAATATGGCAATATTTATTTATAAATATGGTCTTATGTATTTATCTCCCTCCCCCAAACTGTTAAATTTCTTAAATAACTGAGTCATATCCAGATGCCAGCACTTAATAAGACTTAATGTTTGGAGGGCCTCCCTGGTGGACTTGGGGTTAAATCTCAGCACTACTCACACAAATCCACATGGCACAGCAGACCTCTCCTGTTTCCCCACTGCTCTCCTTAGCAGTGTATTTCAGTAGATCTGCCTGTTTTTTTCCCCACTCTGTCTTGGGTGAATCCTCTCACACCCCACCTCTGGCCTACACCCAAGTTCTAATATGCAGAAATAAAAACAATAAATATTTAAAAAAAATGAATTTAAGACCCAATGTTTGGTAAAATGGTCTGTAAGAGCAGGAATGGACCCCTGAGCAGGTTTTCTGATCCAGCAGACCAGGTAAAGAAGGAGTCAGAGTCCTCAGTGGTTTTTGCAGGTCTTCCATTGGGGTTACCAGGTACGCAGCAGGCAGGGGTGCTGGGGGGCCGGGAGGCTGGCAGGCCTCCCAGCCCCCAGCAAGTCCTCACTCTATCTGGGCTCTCTCTATCTGCTTCTCTCTAGGCTTCTGCTGTTTCTCGGCTTCTTGGCTTCTGCTGGCGATCCCGAGACACCGCCCTTAAAAACCCAGTCTTAGCCCAGGTGAATCCCATCTACCTATGCCCACACCTTATTCCAGGTGCCCGCCATCAGGCATGCATTCAGGACAAGGATCCATCATCTATCCTGATGGCGGGAGGGCAGAAAAGCCTGACATTTTTCCTTACCCTACATGGTCTAAGTAGGATTTGAAGTGTGCTGTTATAAGCAAATGAATCATTTGTTTGAGAGATTATAAAGTTGGAGAGATTACCTAGGAATTGATGTGAAAATCTTAGACTCAGTCCTGATCCTCTCCATTAGTAGACAAGAAAACCAAAGCCTTGCATAGTTAACTGCTTTGCCTAAGTTTATCTTGCCAGGCAATGGCCAGCACCAATTGGGGAATCTCAAACTCCCATCAACAGTCCAGAGGCGAATCTGCACATTGACCTGTCAAGGCTGCTGTAATTTGATGACCATCACCATCTCACTAAAGGTGCTACTGATATTTTTTTTACATTTTTTAAAAGGACAGGTTAATTAAGAAAAAGAGAAAAAGAGGCACCTGCGTAGTCACAGGCAGGCAGGAGAGCTGCCTAAAGCTGCTATTGTTAATCACCAAACACTTTTGTATTGCTGAATCTAGTCAATGCTCTTTAGCCCTTGATATATTTCACCTCTTTGTGCAGGTCTGTTGCCTCCCTAATCATCTTGCAATACTTCCCAGAGGACAGGTATTGCACTCATCTAGTTCTTTTATCTCTCTGGCCATTCTTTTTTTTTTTATTTATTTATTTATTTATTTATTTGCTTGTTTGTTTGTTTGTTTTTGTTTATACATGCACTGGGTACAGTCAGAAGCGCAGGAGGGTGAGAGAATTCACCAGAGCCAGAGCGGGGAGCAGAGCAGGCAGAAGGACCGAAGTACACTGCTGAGGGGAGCAGTGGGCGGCAGGAGAGGTCTGCACGCCATGTGGGACCCTCCTCCCTTGGCCGGGGAGCAGCCGGGGATCGAACCGGCGCAGAGGCCGCGGGCAGCTTCGCAACCCAGCGCTCAACCGCTGCGCCACCGGGGAGGCCCACTCTCTGGCCATTCTTCCTCAGACTTCCTTGTGTGCTTCTTCTATTCATCTACCATTCCCATCTTAATGTTAGTGTTTCCTGGGGTTATATCCTTGGATCCTCTATTATTTCTTCTATATTTTCTCCCTGATTGATCTCACCCATGCCTGGGGCTTAAATTACCAATTATAATAAACCAGTGTCCTCCAAATCTATTTTATTTTAACTCAAACTGTCTCTGTGTAATTCGACTGCTTGTTGGATATACTCAGCTAGATTTGGAGGTTTCCTCCACTGAGTCATAGTTACATTAGTCTTTGAGGGAACCTAATCAATTGTACCTTTCTTTTCCAGATAAAGGAGAATGGCACAGGAGACCAACTTCTATCATTACTACTGAAAGTATTACTATACTTACTACTGAAAGTATTACTACTGAAAGTATTTGTTGCAAGAGCAACCATGAACTTAGTGGCTTAAAACAACACAAATTTATTAAATGATGGTCCTGAAGATCAGAAACCCTAAAATCAAAGCATTGGCAGGGCTTAGTTCTTTCTGGGAAAACTAGGGAAAAACTCATTTCCTTGCCTCACCCAGCCTCTAGAGGCTGCCTGGATTCCTCAGCTCCATCTTCAAAGCCAGCAATGAAGACTCTTCAAATCTCTCTTTCTCTGATTTTTGCTTCCATCATCATACTTTTCTCACTCTGACACTCCTGCCTCCAGCACAAGTGGGTAATTCAAGATAATATCTCCATCTTAAGATCCTTAACTTAATCACATCTGGAAAATGCTTTTTGCCATAGCTTCTGAAGATTAGGTCATGTGCATCTTAGTGGGGCTGAGGGAGATGGGGATTAGTATCTTAAAACCAACTAAGTTGGTATTGGGTATTACCTGTGAAGAGTGATTCCAAACTTTGGAATTAACTAGGTTTACTAATTTTATAATTCTATAACTAGGCATCCTCAATCCCACCCCCAGGCCCTGTTCCTAGAGAAGCAGAGACCCCCATCATGACAATTCCTGGAAGTCAATTTTCTTTTAGGAGAAAAAGAATGGAATGAGCTACAATGTCCAGTTTTCCTTTAAATTTACCAATAAGGAAGTCACTAACTTTGCGGAAGAGTGAGCAGGGGCAGGTGCAGCAAGAGGCCTGGAGCATTCTATTAATGGATGCCACTGAATATGGAAGGAGGCATGTTGGAGAATATGAACTTCCCCAACAAACATATCCACATTTGAACTCATTCATATATAAATATCTCCTAGGACTATCACTACCTCTATCTAGTAACTTAAAAATTTGTAGATAACCCAGACTCATCCGTGTTCCCCTCTTGCCAAATGTTTCCATCATCTACCCCAATATCCACACTAGAAATCTCCCCCATTCAGTGTTGTCAGTTCTACCATGTCAACAGTGCTCACATCCATCTCTCCCTCTATATTCCCACTGTGGATGCCTAGGTTAAGACTCTTACCATTTCTTTTTTTTTTTTTTTTAAGATTTATTTATATATGTGTAAGGGCAGGATTGGGCACAGTGCAGGTTCTCTGATCCCATGCAGACCGGGTAAAGGAGGAGTCAGAGTCCTTAGTAGTTTTGCAGGTTTTTTTATTGTTGTTCACCAGGCATATGGCAGGCAGGGGTGCTGGCTGGGGGACTGGGAGGCTGGCAGGCCTCCCAGGGCCCCAGCAAGTCTTCACTCTATCTGAGCTCTCTGGAGTTCGTTCTGCTGCTTCTCGGCTTCTCGTTCGGCTTCGACTGCTGCTTTCTTGGCTTCTACTGCTGCTGCTGGCGTCCCCGTGACGCCACCCTTAAAAAGCAGTCTTAGCTCAGCTGAATCCCATCTACCTATGCCCACACCCTATTCCAGGTGCCCGCCATCAGGCATGCATTCAGGACAAGGATCCATCATCTATCCTGATGGCGGAAGGGCAGAAAAGCCTGATATTTTCTTTACCCTATAATATAAGAACGGGTACAGACCAAAGGTGCGGGAGGTGAGCGGATTCACCAGAGACAGAGTGTGGAGCAGAACAGGCAGACTGACTGAAATACACTGCTGAGGGGGGGCAGTGGGTGAGACATGAGAGGTCTGCTGCGCCATGTATGTATCTCCCTGGCCGGGGATCCAACTCGTGCTGCAAAGGCAGCGGAGAGATTCACAGCGCTGCGCTCAACCCCTTGGCTACCAGGAAGGCCCTCTTACCATTTCTTAACTGGAGGGCAGTCATGGCCTCAAAATTGTTTTCCTAGCCTCAAGCCTCTTCCTGTCCATTTCACTTCTATACCGTCACTCATGAAATGTACTGTGCCTGGAATTCCACCCTTCCAAGTTAGTCTCTCCAACCTCCTACAACCCGGTTCTTCAATTTGTCCAAAAGCTTCAAGCAACTATCCAACATCAGATGGAATCGAACTTGAACACAGGTTTCTCTGACTCCAAAGTCCAGGCTTTTAACTGCTCTTGCTCGACGACCTTCTTATAATATATTTTAAAGTGTAAGGGCTTTACACTTTCCAAAGTAACAGAAAGTGTACTTTGCCTTTACTTTTAGCCTCCCAACTCTCCAATGTGGAAAAGATGGGTATGACTCTACCCAAGAAGAAACTGCGTGCCCGGGGAGCTGAAGGTTTGGCCCCTCACACCTTGCTGAGTCAGCGAGTGTCTCTCAGCAGTCCCGGCTTCTGGTCTCCCTTCTCGGAGACCCGCCCGCACTTCGCACAAGCTGTCGACGGGGCCAGCGCCAGCCTGGATGAGCCCACCGCTCTCTCCACCACGGGAGTCCCGGGGACCTGCCGCGACAATCACGGCGGAGACCTCCCCATTGGCAGTGACGCGCAATCAGTGACGCCATGCAGTGACTTGCGCTGACGTGCTGACCCGAAGCCAGGGGCTGGCAGGGCAGCCGCACCCTGGAGGCCCCTGCTAGGAGGGCAGCGGGTGGGGGCCATAAAGAAAAACACCAAAAGTGGCCTCGGACGACCTCCAAGCCCCCAACCCCCGAATCCCGCCCGCCCGCGGTGGCTCGGTTGCTAAGTGACGCCAGCGCGCAGCGGCGCGTGCGCGGCCACGGCGGTGTGCGTGAGGGCGGGCGCGCGCCGCGGCAGCGGCGGCGGCGAGGACGGCGACAGCAGCGGCCAAGGGGGCGTTGGCCACGAGGGGGTTGCTGAGCGGGCGGAAGAGGAGTCCGCGCGGGCGGCTGGGTCGCAGAGGAACATCGTTGGGGTGAGTGGCCGGCGCCTCGCAGGGGAGGTGGGGCCTGGCCGCACCTGCCGCGCGGGCCCGGGGCGCGGGGACGCGCGCCCCCACCGTCACCGCGCGCGCCGCTCCACGCCCCTCTGCCGCGCTTTCCGGGGGCGGGGTAGGCGTGGGGACGGGGGCTGGCGAGGGTCAGTTCCTGGCGCGGGCGCTCCGGGCGGTGGCAGCGGGGGGCCGCGTGCTGGAAGGTGGAGGGGGAAGTGGGTATCTGGGGGCTTCGGGTCGGCTCTGTCAAGCTCCCAGACAGGATTCGGAGTCAGGAGAAGTCGGGGTGCCCAGGGCAGCCGCGCACCCTGCCCTGTACGCGGTCGCCCGTGACTGGAAGAGGCGGAAGTGGGGGGCCTGGGGTCGGGGTTGGAGTGTGTGGCGCTGCCGGGGCCCTGAGCGCGCCTGCCCTGGCTTAGACGCGAGGAGGAGCCGGTTGTTATGGAGAGAGTTGTGAATCAGTGCCTGCGTGCGGCGTCAGACACACCCACGACCTGGGCTCGGCGATCTGTCAGTGTGGAGAGGAGGCGGCCAACTGTTGCCTGGAGTTTCCAACTTCACGTGCATGTGCACGTGCTTACTGCGCGCGTGAACCGCGCGTCTGGCCTTAGCGTTCTGTTAGGTTGTTGCTATGGGTTTTGAGGCCCCAGGGCTGATAGCTACTCAGTTTTTACGTGCTCTTAGACTCAAATCATGTCTTATTTCCCAGATCCTTGTTTTTCTTCTGTTGTTGTAGGGAGGATGTGTGGAGGTGTTGTGTGTGTGTGTGTGTTGTGTGTGTGTGTTTTTTCTCCCTTAAAAGCAGTACAAGCCTGGGGGCCTCCCTGGTGGCGCAAGGGGTTAGGCACCGCACTGTGAAGAAATCCACAGCCTCTGCAGCATGAGTTTGATCCCCGGCCGGCAAGGGAGAAACCCACATGGCACAGCAGACCTCTGCTCTCCCGCCCGCTGCTCCCCTCAGCAGTGTATTTCAGTCATTCTGCCTGTTCTGCTCCCCACTCTGTCTCTGATGGATCCTTTCACCCCCTGCATTTCTGGCCTGTACCCCAGCTCTTGTATGCATAAATAAGTAAATGTTTAAAAAAAAAAAGCAGTACAAGTCTGCTATTTGCCAGGCAGAAAATACACGAGAAGCCTGAGTATAAAGGTGCAGCAGATCATCTGACCAGCGCTCTGTTCTCAGCGTGCTGGGCTCTCGTGTGGGTGTGTGGGGTCTCTCTGCAGGGGCTGTTTTATCTCTCACGCTCGAGAGGGAGGAGAATTGGAACTACAGAAGAAGTTCAATCTTTTCTGACTGTTGACTCCAAGGCAATGGCTAGAACCGGGAGAAAGATGTCATGATTTGTGCAAGAAAACTGAAGAAAATAACTTCTGAGTATTCATCCAGTTCTAAAATTCTGTGATTCCGTTTCATAACTGAGGATCTGTTGTAGTATGTTACCTGAGGTTTTTACAGCTTGGAAGCAGTAATAGCCTGGGTTTGTAACACTTAGAGTCCTCAGGATTCAGTGTCTTTTCTTCTCTGGACTAAAGTTTTTAGGAAAGGAATCATATGTTCTTCTCTGTGGTCTCTCCAACATCTAGAAAAATTTCTTGCCACAGAGTAGGCATGCAATAGATACGTGTTATATTATCACACCGTGTAAAAGGGATCTGTCAATGTACAGGAAGCATTTAGTCCAGCCCTTCAAGTAGATAATACCGGTGCCCTCTCTGCCCAGCATTACTAGCTGTGGGAAGAGGACTGTGGGATTACTAGTGGCATAAATGACTGTACTTTTACCCATTAAGAGCAAACAGGTTAGGACAATAAAGCATATGCATGTAAAAGAGTTATGAAACCAAATGGTAATATGTAAAAAAAATGCTACATGAGGGCTATAAATGCCCCGGAGAATTTTAAACAAAAATTTGTGGGATGAGTTTACTCTGCAAGAAGTAAGATTTGAGCTTAAAAAGAAGTGTAAAATTTGAATTAGAGAAAAGATAAGAGATGTTGAGAAAATAGTGTGAACTTGGTCATTTGGGGATATATTGAGGAGGCTTATGTGTCTGGTAACTGGAGAGGAAGATGTCTGCTAGGGAACTATTGGGAAGGTCAGGTTAGAAGTTTGGGGATGGAATATGTTAAGACTAAGGCAGGCCTGTCTGCATCCCACTGATAAAATAGAACCTGTTTGCTATATCTTAGAGAAAAAAAAAGGATTATTATTACTTAAAGGATAACCTGAACCAGCAGCAGGTTGTAAACTTCTGATTTCAATTATTATTTGAATAATGTCCTTACTAATGTGAATATTATGTAGTCAGCGCACATGTCCCCATTTCTAATATTTACCTGATGTGGTTTGGACTGTTCCATTTGAAATTTATTGAAATGATGTGCAGAAAGCAATCATCCAGGCATCTTCAGTGTTACAGTTTTGCTTGGGATTATCTCATGGCCTGTGCGGTTTGTAGTTACTACTGCTCCTGTAAAATGCAAATGTTAGTTGGAAAGTTGGGAAAGGAGTCTGTTGGAAGAAAGGTACTCAAAATATTGACAAAAATATTTGAGAAAATCAAAGACACTCCTGCTGAATGTTGAACTTTTGGTCTTTATTTGTAATATCTTTCCTTATGAAACTTCTTTTGAGTGTTAGGTAAGCCTGAAGGTGAATTGCTACCTAAGACAAAGTTTCAACAGTGTAATAATGTTTCATTATTTAACACCTCAGCAAATATTTACTGGGTTCCAGAAGACAAAGAGACAAAGAATAAGATACAGTTTACCCTCAGAGATACTGAGTGCTCATCACTAACATTATATATTACAATAAGGGATAATCCCTTTGGTAATAAATAAAATGCTGAAAGAATGTATCACTTTTGGGGAAAAAAATTGATGTATCAGGGAAAGCGTTCAAGAGGATGGAATTTAGCCCTTGAATGCTAACTAGAATGTTGTCACACGTAAAAGTGAAAATAAATATTCCAGGCAGAGTGCAGGGAGCATAAACAAACCTTCAAAGTTTAAAATTGAGTGGTTTCTTTTTAAACCTTGAGTTGTTTCTTATAGGTTTGGTTTATGGCAGAAATGGTGAGCCAAGAAAGACCGGCTAAAGCCAAATTGTGAGGGAGTTTTCTATTCTGAAAAACCTAAAAACTTCCCCCCTAAACCCCCTTCCCTGTGTTGGAGAGCCTTGGAAAGTAGAATAACCAGGTCAGAAATTAACTTTGCAGATTGCATTAGAATAGTGAGACAGGGACATCTGTCAGGATGTGGATGGCGGATATTGAAGAGGTACGCTGGGAATGAATAGATTGAAGGGATATTTTAGATGTTAAAAATTTGTAAATGTTATGACTAGAGTTGAGACAGTGAGAAGTCAAAGATGACACTTCTAGCTTGAATAACTGGTGATTATAATGACATCAAATTAGAAAAATAGAGATGGAGAGATGAAATGATGACATTTTAATTTGAAGGTCTCTGTGTAGAATTGAGAGACCACTAGGTAGTTGGAAAGTCTACTCCAAAGTTTACTAGACAGTTTAGGGATAATTGTAAGTTACAATATCTTAGGAGTTAGTATAGTAGTTAATCTGGACTTTGGAGCCAGGAAGACCTGAGGTCCAATCTCTGTTCTGCCACATGATGGTTGGATTGGGTGACTTTAGGCAAGTTATCACTAAATGTGTGTTTCTTTCTAAAGTTGGAGTTACTAATACTTTTAAGAATTGTGAAATTAGGTATAGTATGTGTGCAATGATTAGCACCAGGTCCTAATTTATAAATGCTTAATGAATGACAGCTATTATTATTAGTCGTAGTCGTAATACCTACAGTTGTAGAGATTGTAGAAGATACAATTACCCAGAAAACTGGAGAGTGAGAACTGCAAAGGACAGAGTGGAACTTTTGGAGATCAATACCATATCAAATTTAGACTTGAGCATGCATCAGAAATATCTGGAGGCCTTCATGAGGCACATATTTCTGGTACCCACCCTCGTTTCTAATTCAGTAGGTATGGGTGGAACTCAAGAAACTGCATTTTGAACAAGTTTCCAGGTGATTCTGATGGTTGATGCTGCTGTTCCCAGGACCATTACTATAAAAACTACTGACTTGGAGCATGGAAGAAAGAAGAGGAACCAACATAGAGACCAACAAAGAAATTGAGATTGATGGAGAACCAGGAGAGAGTTTAAAGAAAGATAAGGAAGTAACCCTCTAGATTCATTAGTCTGCTTTCCAATTTCATAGGCCCCATCTCATTCTTATTTCTGTTTTCTCTAGAATTTGGTATAATACTTGGCATATAGTATTGTTTGAATTAACCTTTGAATGTTTCTTAATACTGTCCTTGTGTATGATTGCATGTACTTCACACCTAGATTTCATTCATCTTCTTACATCTCTACTGAGTCTCAGAGAAGTTTCTAATTTTAAACACACACACACACACACACACACGCACACACACACACACACCCATAGAAATTTTCTTTCAAATAGCTGATGACTAGCAGCAAGGTGCTTTGTGTTAGAGGTCCTCCCTTTGGCTTTTTAAAATGTCAGTCCAGGTTGCAAAATAATTATCAATAATAGTGTCAAGATTCTAATCTGTGTGTTGTATTAGAAGCTTTGCAAGTTTACAAGGTTAGCAAGTAATATACTCTATTTGGGAAGTTTACAGTAGGATGAACAAAATAGGAAAAACCCTAAGGAAAGAATCAGGAAGAGATATAATCACAGAAATGTGAATGAGAGAAACTTGAAGAGAAGGATTTATTCCTTGTTTTCTGATATACTTTGAATCTTACATTTCACATATACTGAGCACTTTTGGCAAATAGCACAAATATTAATTGTAATATCTGATAGGAAGTTATAAGGGAGTTCCACTGTATAAGGAACTCAAAGGTTGTGCAGAGATATAAACACATCTCTAAAGAGGCTTCAGGACTTATATTGGAACTTCCCTGACTAATTAGCC